ATCTAAAATCTTTTCACCTTTGTTGATTTTAATTTACATGCAGTGAGGAAATATAACGTCATATTTGTTTCAGGAAACTACTGCGAATAAACAAGCGAAAGAAACTTCATTCTTTAGTAATACCCCGGGGAGGGGTACTCTCTTTCCAAACTTGGGGCGGAATTGAGCAAAGTCGTACTGTCACCTGTGTGGTGACCGAAGCTCTTGCCAACAACAGGCACAATCTTGATTCCTTGCTACGATGAATTTCGCGGCTTTGCTCTCATTTCGGACAAGCGATATTAGTCCCACAACAACTATCTAATAAGGGATTTAACATCAGTTCCATGGCCTATGCTTTCAAGCTATAGGTCTGAAACTATAGAATTATAGATTGAACGTTTTGTTACTTTCTTGACCTATGAACTTCTATGAAACTAAACATTGGAACTATGGCTCTGAACTTCCCATGGCCTATGGTTCTTTGACTCAGATCTATGGCTTATGGCCTATGGTTAAGGTAATTCAGGTGACTATTATTTGTTTCATGCCACACTTTAGAGTAAACAAATACTTAAAACAAAATGTTTTAAATGAGCCTTATATGAGGAAACGAAATTAGAAAACAACCTTCTTTACACAGAGGATGTTCGTACATTTTTTAGAAGATTTTTATTGTAATTATAGAAATATTTTTTCTAAACCTTTTATGTTTCAAATATTGTTTTAGATAACCCTTATTCTTCACTATCTTTATACACCGTAATTTCCAAGACAATAAATCCTTTTATAGTATGGAAAGATGTACTTTATTTCAATGCTTTGAAACACTTTTCCAAAGTTTAAACAGGTTGTACGTTGTCCAAACGCGCAAAACTACGCTGGTGACAGATCGGGAGATTCATTTAGGCATATCAGTGAAGGGTATGGCCTTGATTCTCGTTCTTTTTTGTTTTTTGGTGTTTTTTCATTTTTTGGGTGTTTTTTTTTTTTTTTTTTTTTGGGGTTTTTTCTTTTTTTTTTTTTTTTGTTTTTTTTTTTTTTTTTTATTTTTTGGGTGTTTTTTCATTCTTTTTTTTTTTTTTTTTTTTTTTTTTTTTTTTTTTTTTTTTTTTTTTTTTTTTTTTTTTTTTTTTTTTTTTTTTTTTTTTTTGTTGTGTTTTTTTTTTTTTTTTTTTTTTTTTGTTTTCATTTTTTTTTGCTGTTTTTCATTCTTTTTTTGGTGTTGTTTCATTTGTTTTTGGTGGTTTTTCATTTTTTGTGCGTTTTTTCATTCTTTTTTTGGTGTTTTTTCAGTGTCTTTTCATTATTGTTTGGTGTTATCTTGTTCCATTTTTTCCCAGGAAATTAACAGTAGATTTTGACGGGTCACTGCTTGCTTTGTCTTGATGCAGTTCTACTGTTATATTGATGAATTATATTGTATGTAAAGAGGAGGCATTTCATATTTGGAAACTGGTTATAAAATATGTTCCTGATAATATGTGGAGTTGATGTTAATACATTCCTCCACTCTTTTTATTTTTAATTTGCGGTTGTAGGAAGAAACCTACAACCTTAAATTAAAAATAAAAAGCAACCATCATAAATCCATTCAAAAAACTATTTTAGATTTCTTGAACCATGCTTTATGATATTTTCTTCCCCTTTGATGGTAATAAATGGGTCTCTTTTTATTTGCAGTCATATAAATATACTCAAGATTCCTCTATCATGACAACATTTTTCCATTTTCGATGGGACAAATGTTTCTGATAAAGAATTTTGCAGCGCGTTCAGCGTTCGGCAATATCTCGTGTAGAAAGACGATGCACATTACGATTTTTCACATTTTTAAGATTCAAGTCAGCATTAATCACTTTGTTTACAGTTGACATCGAACATTTTAATGATTTTGCTACTGTTCTTTGACTTGGCGCATTTCCTTTTAACATTAAAGACTTTATTTTTCCAACATTCGAAACATTCCGGATTTTCCTTGGATACAAGTTTGTAGAGTACCTCACTTTGGAATTCTAAGTTAATGTTGGAAGTGAGGAATCTGAGAACTGATAAGCGAATAATCGCTTGCTTTCGGTGACAAGAAACAACAAGATAGAAGGGTAACTAACCCTTTATTATTCTAATAAGATTTAACAAACTCCGCCTGGGAGTGTACAAGCAAAGCCCGCACTTTGGCTTGAACTAAAAAGACTAAGAATTAAACTAAAAGTAAGAGTAACTAAAGCAGTATAGCCGAAGCTATCAAGGTTCAATTTGAGTTGGCCCCTTAACTTATTTTACTACGAAGCTTAGCAAGGGCCTGAGTAAGGCCGAGCGTAATAACAGCTTTGAGAGAGAGAGTGGCCAAAAAGGCAGACGCGCGTAAATCAGAAACTCTGATTCTCTCTGACTCAGTAACTTCGTGGTTTAAATACCGCTCCTTCTCATTAAATATTCAACAAGATTCCAAAAGTACGTTCTGGCCGGAAGTGGTAAGTTGAAGTTAAGAATTTGACAGGAAAGGAACTTTAACTTAAAATTTAACTGTTAATAAAATTAACATAATCCTTACAAGTTAAGTGGAAAAATTGTTCACGTGGAACAATTTTTCCACTTGAAGCTAAATTTTGAAGTTTTTTTCTTTGTTGCTGAGCACATTACCTATCGTAGCTTTAGATATCGAAAAGTTCATGGCTTTCACAACGTTTTTCAATAACCAGATACGAATAATTTTCTTCGGAAAGAACACGAGCATAGCCTTCCACCCATTGCTTCTTTAAAAGCGACATTTTGCATGAAAACAAAACTGCTAAGTAGCAGATTATAATTTATACTTTCAAAAATACAGTTAAAAAAATTCCAAGCCAAAGACCTTTTTTTCACAGTAAAGGAAAATCGTCTAAAAAGTGTACTCAAGAAATTCAAATTTTCAGTGTTATTTACAAATACTGATGATGATAGACATGTATGTAAATTTTCGAAGGCAAAAAAACTTTTCAAAAGCGTCTTTGCATTACAGAACATTTATACAAAAAGCACGACTTTCAGATTCAAATCTTTAGACAAGATGTTTGAAATTTTTAATTGAACAAACGTCAGCTTTGGCAGAATCCTTTAAACGTATTCAGTCTGACCTTCTTTGGTAGCATGAACTAAGTTCGAACTTTTAACAGACATAGAAAGAATTATTCTTTTGTCTGAAATAACGACAAAGCCTTGAAAACGATAAAGAATAGCCTCTTTAATGAAGTAGAACTTTGTAAATAAATGTCTCTTCTCGCGCTCACATAAGCAACCACAACTCGTTGTGCTTATGTGCTGACTCGTTTTAAGGTAGCTTTTAGTTAGCAAGATAAAGAACCAAAGAAAGCCAAGGAAGATTTTTACGACTGTGATTTTCCTTCAAATGCTTTAGTGTGAAAAGAAGATATTAAAAATACTGAAGTTACATTGGAAACATAAACTGATAAAGGAAAAGAAAGCAGGAATAAGATGCAGGAATAAAAAGCAGGAATAAGAAGAAGGAAAAAAGCAGCCAATTTTCAAATAAGGAAGTTGTAAGGCATTTATTTAATGTTATTAACCAATTATTCTATGTTACGTACCTATACAGTCATAGCTCCTTTTCGTTTTTTCCTGCCAGAATGTAAATTTTAGCTCGCGCGTATTTAAATGAGGTAGAAAGATACACTATTTAAAAGGAGGTTTTAGACTGTTTAGTCAGAGCATATTCCGCCTGCTGAAAGCCGCGTTGTCAGTTGAATTTCTACCGCAGCAGTCTGTCATCGGCGTTGCTTTACTCTTGCCAATAAGCCGGTATAGGTTAGAGTTAACTTGCGCGTTAATCATTTCTGCGTAGCCTTTGGCTAATTTGAGATTTACTCAAGTTTTATAAATCATGAAGTAAAAAATAATTAAAAAAATCTGAAAGGTTTCAGATTTTAAATTACGTCCAAACGGGTTTTTTTTAATGTTTTGTGTGTTACCTTTATTTATTAAATATCATGTTCTTTGCACTTAAACCATAAAATTCAGTTCAATAGCAATGTCGCAAAATAATTTTTAAATGAGGCTTTCTTTAGAATTTTCGATACACAGTTTCGCGAGCTGGAGATAAAAAGGTCTTTCTTTCCCCGAAAAGTGTTGCTATTGCTCGCTATTAAATCGATGAGTTTATTACTCAAAAATTCGTTAAAGGTTTAGAAAATATGAAGTTGACAATAAAACAAATTCCGAATTTCAAATTTGGTCTTCCACATCCCATATTCGTCGGAGGATTACGTCATTCAAAATTCGATGTCTCTATGTACCGTTGTTTTATCACAATGCGAGAAATATACATACATTTATGCATATTTTTTATTATTTAGTTTCTTCAAATATAATGCAGGACTCTAACATTTGGTGGCAATAGTTTGAAAAGTGAAACGGACATTTATAGTGATTCAACGCAAAACGAAAACAATAGTCCTTCAGAGACAAAGCCCCTTTGGATTAAAAACATATAACGTCATTCTATGAAAATGTTAAATATTTTTAATTTGATAGGTAATGAATTAAAGCCATTTTTTTATTTAAATCAATTCAATTTAAAAGTAGGAAACTAATATTCTCAAAAACTGTATCTATTGCTTTCAAATAACTTAGTTTCTTAATCACAAATACAGATGTAGTTTGGTAAAGCAGTAAGGTAAAGATGCAGTAAGGTAATTTGCAGTTTTTTGCAGTTTGGATGCAGTAAGGTAAATAAATATCTTACTTTTTGCCGAATGGCAAGAGGTTTAAGTAAAGAATGTAAGGACGTATTTATAGTGATTCGAAGCAGAATTCAATTTCGAGACTAATAGATACTTTTGGATGAAAGTTACAGTCAAAATAAAACGTGAACCTAACTCGTATTTGTGTTTCTATTCCATGTTTTGAGAGAATGTTTAACGTTTTGTTTCCGAAATAATATTATCCGGATAAAAGTAAGAAATCCTCTCTTAAATGTCAACATTTTAAGACACTCTTTGATCAAAATATTAATAAACAATACGCAAAAGAACATCAAGAGTTTATTTTAATTTATTTCTTAACAACACATAACATGCACAAAACATCATTCCTTATCAGTGACAGCTCATTAACAGCAGTTTTGATTTCTTCTTTAAATCGAAGATGAGTCGAATGACCCATAAATATAAGAAAAAGTTCAATTAGTTTAGAAAGTTCACATCCAAAGCACCAAATCGGTCTTTAAAGATGACTGTTACCTGAAACGAGAATGCACAGAATGAGAATTAAAGTAAATAGTAAATATTAAAAAGAAACAAAGTTTATAATTTTAGCGTAAAGAAAAGTTTAAGCTTGAAATGTTGTAAATTTTTGACAAATATTTTGAAATAAAATATTTATTTTATGTTCGATACCTTTACGATCATTTTCACTTTCCGTTTTCCTACCAGAATGCACATTTTAGCTCTCACTTATTTTGGTAGCGTAACGTACTCTAACTCCGATGTAGAGCAAAGCGACTTATCGCTATGTCTGGACAAGCAAACAGAACATACTTGTGGGTGGGAGAGATCCTTTTATCAGGAACTCAAATAAGTTTAACAGAAGGCAGTCCCAGTCCTTACAAACTCAGGCAGCATTTATGGCTAGAAATCAAAAATAAGAACTCAGATTTAAACTAAATTTAAGCAGAAATCAGCTAAAGGCTACGCAGAAATATTTAACGCGCAAAATGGCTCTAACCTACACCGGCGTGACGGCACAATCCGCAAGAATAAAGCAACGCCGTAGATAGAAATGCTATCGGAGAGTAAATCTAGTGACGTGGAGTTCAGCAGGCGGAACACGCTCTGATTAAAACAATCTCAAGACCTCACTTAAATACACGCGAATTAAAATTTACATTCTGGCAGGAAAACCGAAAGGGAGAAGGGACCGTAAAAGTTCTTAAAATAAAATAACTAGTTGATTAACACAAATACCTCACAACTTAGCCACGCGAAGTTTTGCAGCCCAATATTTAAATTTCCGTCGCACATATGAATAGAAAGGATTAACATTTGCCAAATGGAAGATTATGTTACATAATTGTATTCATCTGAAAAATACGCGTTTAACAATTTCGACTTCGAAAATGCAAATTCAGTTCTTTAACATTACTGGATAAAAACTGCTGTACCTTTCTTTTTCACTCCGTTCAACTGTTTTGTTTCAGCAAACACAAGTTCCGAAATCTTTGTTCATTTTTCAGTCATTTTCCTTTGTTCTTACACTGAAATATTAATTACTTACATTTGTAATTGAAGTCTGAGATGCATAGAAACGAATTAATTCTTTCCGTTCTATAACATATAATAGCTGGATGCGATGCGATTTTTAACCCTTCATCGCCACGCGAGGTTGTAAGAAAATCTCCTTTAAACCTTTGAAGGCACAGTGTGTCCGGTCTGGACACACCTAAGAATTTCCTTCTGTACGCACAGAAAAATTGAATGAAAAAAAAGATTTATAGGTTACTATAGATTACTCTGAACCTTCTTTATTTATAGTAGAAGGCAGCTCAACACAAACGAGTCCATATATTTTAGCCATGTTTAGTTTTTTAAGACCATCATTTTTTCAAAGAAATCTTACAGATTTTTTTAGGGTATAAAAGGAATGTGTTCGAAAAGAATTTCTATGTTATTGTTTTGGCTGTATGCTAATCTCCTTATTCTATAATAATTTTAAATTTTTACCTTGAAATCTTGCCTAAAATCAAGCGGCGAACCCTAGGTGTGCCCAGACCGGGCTCACTGATAATCTAGGACAACTGAGAGTCTGTATTCTTTGTTTCTCCGCACCTCATCGGTCATTGACAAAAATGCTCGCTTCAGCACTTTTTTCGAAGCTCTATTCAATCAGTGTGCCCATTTTGGGCACACCCCACAGAATTAAACGTAAGTTTTACATGCGTACTCCTCTAGGCCTAATTTAGCCTGCCTACCTTTTTAAAATCAAAACTCCGACTTTAAAAGGTAGCGTGCCGGAAAGGGTTAATCCACGAGCTCTGTTTCATGCGTCAATTGTTTCTGTTCGTAAGAGTTTAGAACATCTAATAACGAAACATTTTGGGACACGTATTCAGTTTAAAATCTTTTCTCAGGAAGACCTTAGATTCAGAATCGAAAAAAGGGTGTGAGATTCGAAAATTACTTCTTCTTTCCAAAATATTTTTTCTGTAGTGACAAATTGCTGAATTTTTTTTTGTGTTAAAATTCTTGCTCTAATTTTTTGCAATGTCCAAAAGAAAAATGAAGGAGTAATTTTAAGTGAATCATACAGCAGTGAAGAAAGGAGAGTGCGAGGCTTATAAAAATTCGAATAGTAGCGATGAGGAATAGTAGAGATTTCTCAGAAAGATATCTATAAACAAAATTACATCTTCAGATTCTGATCCTGATGCATAACTGATGAATGCAGTGAAAATAAATGCATGTCACGTTATACACACGATTGAAAACTTTTAAGAAACTTTAGTTAAAATATTTGAAGATCAATATTTTGTAAATAAATTTCCTATTTTTCTTCTTAAGGATCATTAACAAAGCGAGAAAATGTCTTTACCTGGAGTCGGACTTTCCAAAAATGTTCAACAGTTGCGCGGGCGTGGATTTCGCCTTCAAGGAATGGAACCGCTCGGAAAATTCTCTCAGATGATGAGGAAGGAACACAGCATGCTCCCGCTTTTTGATCATGAACTCATTCGGTAACAGCCATTTATTCTCTAGACACTCCTCGCAAGTAGGCCTTTTCCTGAAAGAGAAAAGGGAATAGAAGTAAGCAAATTCTCTCTTCTAGTTTGCAAAGAGATACATGAATGAGAGACAATGCACATTGGGAAAACAATACGTATAAAACACGTTAATACATAACAATTCAAAGCATTTCGCTATGATATTCCATACATTCTGACGGAAATGAAACAGAATCAACACTGGGCATTCTGCATTTGTTGACTCAATGAACCCGACTATTCACACCTCTTACCCATAGTCATGACAGAATGTGAGGATTTATTTCATATATTAAACATTTAAAACCTTACTGAAGAAACCTTAACAAATTCTTATTTCGAAAACCTTAATAAACTTCCAAACTGGATTAAGAAGCATCTTCGGCTGAATATCTGGAAATTCCTTCGTTAAGTCTCTTAAATGCAACATCTTCTAATCCAATTTATTTGTTCTTAAGTAGTAGAAAATGGTTTGAAATCTTTTATTATTAAAAGTTGAGTATTAATTAAAGATGGAAAAGAAAAAAATATCTAAATGGGTTCGAATTTTAACGCTCGCCCAATAGGGCTCTCTTTTAACCCTTTGCGGCACAGTGTGTCCAGTCTGGATACACCAAAAAATTTCCTTCTGTACGCACAGAAAAATTGAATGACAAAGGATTTATAGGTTACTCTGAACCTTCTTTATTTATAGTAGATGGCAGCTCAACACAAACCAGTCCATATATTTTGTTTAATTTTTTAAGACCCTCATTTTTCAAATAAATCCCCCAGATTGTTTTAGGGTATAAAAGGAATTGTTTGAAAAGGAATTTCTATGTTACGTTTTTGGCTGTATGCTAATCTCCTTATTCTATATTAGTTTTCAATTTTTACCTTCAAATCTTGCCTAAAATCAAATGGCGAACACTAGGTGTGCCCAAACCGGGCTCACCGATAATCTAGGACAACTGAGAGTCTGTATTCGTTGTTTCTCCGCATCTCATATGATCAGTTCATTGACAACAGTGCTCGTTTCAGCATTCTTTTCGAAGCTCTATTCTATCAGTGTGCCACTTTGGTCACACACATAGAATTAAAACGATAAGTGCAAAATTTTACTTCACAAAATTTTACTTGTGTGCTCCTCTAAGACTAATTAGACGGCCTACCTTTTTTTTTTTTTTTTTTTTTTTTTTTTTTTTTTTTATCAAAACTCCAACTTTAAAAGGCAGCGTGCCGGAAAGGGTTAAAGTTAAATATGGTTTATCAGTAGAGATTATTGATAGAGATGGTTTAGGTATCGAAGAAAACCACGGTAGTGTTTTATAACATAGTTAGATGAATATGCATTTAGACTAACATGGGAACGTTATATTACCTTCTGAGCATTCGTAAAGTGCCAAAATATGTAACGTAACTCTATAAAATTATAGCGGCCCTGATATCCTTACCGAAGAGCCGGAGATCGAGTTCCGCAGAAGCCATGGATGCAATTTGCCCGTCATTTCATAGGAGGTTTATGGCAGCCTACCTATTAAGTGCCTCCCTTCCGGCCTTAGTAGTGGCCAACGCCAATAAACGGCTAGAGCTCGCCATTGGAACAAAATGCCATATATTATAAATATATCCATTAACTCCATTAATGGTGTTTTTTTTTCTGAACGTTACTCGTTCTAACAGACACTATACCAGCTCAACTACATTATTATTACGTAATAAATATGCCAGCAATAATAAACTCTAAGGTTGCTCCTCAAGTTGATGAGTCAAGCGTGGATGAAGTGAGTCTCCACACCGTATATTAAGTTGAATGAGCAGAACAAGAGACAACAATTCTGTTAAGTGAGATGGCCAGAAATATCCACCGATTTTGCCAAAAACCAGAAATTACATTGCAACCTCATTTAAATTTCATTTAAAAGCGTTTCTGATATCCTATCCGTTGGTGCAAACACCAAAGTTATGTGATATATATATATATATTTTTTGTTTTTTGTTTTTTTTTTGTTTTCTAAACGAAGATATGAAAAACATGTTTCAGCATTAAATTAAAAGAAGATTTAAATGTAATTTTGAAAACATCTTTTCATTCTATAATACGGTCATCCACCAACAGTATGCGGCGAAAATTTGAAAGCGGTATCTTATCAAGAAGTAGTTTAAAAATCGATGGCAAACCTTTGATCATAGCAAACAATTACCACGTGTGAATAAATAAAAGCTTAAAATAAAAAGCGGAAAGGATCTTAAAAGTTGAATAAAATCTACAATAAAGCCGTTATATGCATGTTCAGTAAATAATTTTAATCTTTAAATTAAAAAACGATATATAACATTTTTATCAAGAATTTAATAGCTCATCCCCCCTCCTCAGTTTATTACTAAAATGAAGACTACATGAACTGAAAGGTTCTTACTGCGGTGTCCTCTTGAAAAGTTGCATCAGGAAATTTGTGGCTTCTTGCGTGACTTCCTTGTAGAGGTGATCAAAGTGGTAGCGGACGTAAAGGACATTGTCCTTTGTTTCTTTCTCAGATTCTCCAGCAAATGGCGAAACACCGCTCAATCTAGAATGCACAACGGTTCGAAATATTATTATTCAACATCGAAACTTACATATTATATTTGAATAACGCAATCTAAATTAGAACAAACAGGCTGCATAAGAAAGATGCAGTTAATAATATTTATCCAAAAATATTATTTCCTGTTATAGAACGTCTGTAATTTTCACCAAATGCCTAGCGAAAAGGAAATCAAATTTTGGAATCATGCATGTAATAAATGTACACTGCTTAAAACAATTGAAGGATATTGTGAGTTCGGTATGAAATATCTGTATAATCGACAACTAATTTAACAAAAATAAAATAGGAGATGCTAAAAAAGAAAACTGTAAAATTTACAAAGTTGGGAATATACCTGTTATTTTCTATGACATCGAAAATTATGCGTTTTAGATAAAGAGTGAACAGCGACCTGCAGCAGTCCTTCTTTAGGAGGAGCTTAAAAAGTACTGGCATGCGTTTAATATTTTGTAACAGTGCGTACAATGCCTGGCACGATGACTCAGCTGAATCGGAACGCAGGAGAGCCATCGGTTGTTTAAAAGAGGGTCAAACGGAATCCACTGTAAGGGAAATGTTAGGAGTTTCTCAAAGTATAATTTCCAGACTATGCAATAGGTTTTTGGAAATTGGAAACGTTCGCCGAAGATCGCGACAAGGTCATATGCCTGCAGCAGCCCAAAACGAGAAGCGGTATTGACACCCAAAAGGCTACTTTCTTGCAACAACACCTTCAGAGTGCTACTGCTACTAAAGTTTCGACTCAAAATGTTCGTAACCGATTTTCACCATGCGGGTTTGTAACCTCCCAGACCCATTCCTTGTGTTCGTGACACTGCTGCCCGCAGAAGGTGGGCACAGGAGCATCTCGGATAGGGATGAGATGAGTGAAGCAATGTGCTCATCACGGACGAGTCCTGCTTCAGTGTAGAACTTGACAATAAACGAATTCTCATCTGGAGAGACCCTGGTATATCGAATGCTGCTGCATTTGTGCGTGAAAGTGTTCCATTTGGCCGATGCTGAATGATAGTCAGGCCGTTATTTCGATCAATGGCCGCATCGACCTGCACACTATCAGGAGTGAAGCATTAAAAGCTCAGGGATATAGCGATGAGATAATAAGACCTTTTATAGTTCTTTACGCTGCAGCACTAGAGGATGAGTTCATTCCCATGGATGATAACGCCAGGTCACATCGTGCTCCGATAGTAAACAATTTCCTTTTCGACGAAGGAATCCTTGGAATGGATTGGCTAGCATATTCCCTAGATATGGACTCAATAGAACATGTTTAGGGCATGTTTAGGGTTTGCTAGTCGCTTATCACCTCAAAAACAATTCAGCAGTTTGAGAGCTCTCTTCTACAGGAGTGAAAGATCGTACCAGAGTCCCTCATTGATTCCATGCCTTCATAGGCTTCATATCCGAAATCATAATATCCTCTAATTGCTTTCAGAAGTGTAATAAATAAAATAAAGTGTATATTTAGGGTATTTTTTAGCATTTTGTACTTTTGTATTTTTCCATTAACTAGAAAAATAAAATATCTAAACATAATACAAAATAATGCTCGAGAATTTCGGGTCGCCAGATTTTGAAGAATCGCAATGCAGTTTTTAATGCCCTAATATCGGTCTCGAAAATGTATTCATAGCGATTAATGTGTAACGATTTCGAATATAATAAAAGTTTGCGACTGCAATGATAATTACTAAACATACTAATAATTGATATATATGATAATAAGAATGAACCAATAATTAATATATATGATAATTGATATATATGATAATAAGAATGAACCAATAATTAATATATATGATAATTGATATATATGATAATAAGAGAATGAACCAATAATTAATATATATGATAATTGATATATATGATAATAAGAATGAATGAACAATAATTAATATATATGATAATTGATATATATGATAATAAGAATGAACCAATAATTAAGATATTGATAATTAAGATATATATGATAATATAGAATAAAATAATTAATCCTAATGATAATGATATATATATATATATGATATATGATAATAAGAATGAACCAATAATTAATATATATGATAATTGATATATATGATAATAGAATGAACCAATAATTAATATATATATATGATAATTGATATATGATAATAAGAATGAACCAATAATTAATATATATATATGATAATTGATATATATGATAATAAGAATGAACCAATAATTAATATATATGATAATTGATATATATGATAATAAGAATGAACCAATAATTAATATATATGATAATGATATATATGATAATAAGAATGAACCAATAATTAATATATGATAATATGATATATAATGATAATAAGAAATGAAAACCAATAATTAATATATATGATAATTGATATATATGATAATAGAATGAACCAATAATTAATATATATGATAATTGATATATGATAATAAGAATGAACCAATAATTAATATATATGATATTGATATATATGATAATAAGAATGAACCAATAATTACTCGAATGCTGAATTCGCAGCGATAGCAATTTTCAGTAAATTTCATTTTCTGTTTTTACATTTTTTTACACATTGCTTCAGAAAACATAACTTTTTCGGGGGATGGGAAAACATACCCTCTCCCCTGAAAAGTATTTTGAATTTAATCTTCAATTTCAGTATTATTAGCTAATTCACATTTAACTTGTGTTGATTTGAAGTTTCCTTCGTAGGTCCTAATACATAACACGTTTTCTTTTTAGTGTTATATATTATTAAGTTTAAATTGAAAATGCATTTTTAAAATTACAGTCTCAGCTAACTGCGAATTGAAAAAACAAATGAAAAGATGCAAATCCATGTACACTGCGAAAAAATAAAATGAAACAGTTCTATATCTCCCGTTCTACTACCCGATTGACGATTGAATTTAATATATATTTATTAATATCTCTTTTTTTATATTTACTTGATTCCTTCTTCCAGAATTCGAAATCGAGATTCATTCGAAATAAAATTCACCCATTTTTTATGATTTATTTTTAAAATTTGTATTTTTAAATAAGTTTTATAAAGTTTTCTAAAAAAATTTGGATAATATCCTATAAAATTTTTACCATCACCTTAGATGTAGACGCATTTTTAAGTACACCTGCAAAAAGTTTGAGTTTTTTATTAAAAATTTCCTAGGACATACGTGAATTTACATATTGGCGCGTTTTGGAATTTGGCATATTTGTTATTAGCTATAATCGCACCAAATGCGGTTTACACACTTTGTTGAAATTAGTTAAAATAATGAACGATGACTTTTTGCCCGCTTATTTGCATTGATTAAAAGGAAAGGAAAATACGTTGCTGTAAATTAAGAAGCTCGCCAAGTGAATTATTCTTGGCCCAAACCGGGGGGGGGGAAGTCAAGATAAATTTTTAAATTTCTCCATAAATTCGATATCAAATTTTCTAGACAAAATTTGAGTCCAATTTGAGTCGTAGAATCGAAATATGGAAAAAAATGGCCATGTCATTTCAGAAAAAAGTCCGATTTTGTGTCAAAATACATATATTAGAACACGTGCTATATATAAATCTAAAATATATCCTAAATAGCGCTTTCGATACATGAAAAACGCAGTTTGAATTTCGTTAATCGGCCCAGTAGAACGGGAGATGTAGAACTGTCCCCCCCTTTTTTTTTTTGCAGTGTACGTAATCTTAGCCCTATAAAGCTTTATTTTAAAATTTTACACTTTACTTTTATTTTAAAGTTTGTGATAAAATGAAAATATTCTTTAGAAAAACCTTTTAAGTGACATTTTATCCCTTACGCGCTTTAAATGATGTTAAACAAAGAAATATTTCTTTGCTTGACATCATTATCAACCTAGAGCATTTCTTTAAGTTCTACCTACAGAAAAACTAACATTAATTTTAGCTTTAAAACTGCATAAGAAAAGTTTTATGCTTTAACAATTTAGCAAGCATAAAACGGGTGTTTGAACGAAAATCAAACGAATTTGTACTTACAGGATATACGTCAAAACACCAACGCCCCAAATATCGGCCGGTGTATGAACCTCCTCACCCTTAAGGATTTCGGGAGCTGTAGATGAAAAAATTCAAAATTATTTCAGAGCTTGTAAAACCTTCTTAAATATGCATATACAAATAAGTTATACTCATACACTCTTTGCAAATTACATACAGCACATAGAATTTAATTTTAAAGAGTGGCAACATTTCCTGCCATTGCATCTAATTTTGTATTTTAGTGAGCGAGTGAAATTCACGTTATTGGGTGAAAAGTTGTGAAATAAAGACAAAAAAAAAAAAAAAAAAAAAAAAAAAAAAAAAAAAAAAAAATTAAAAAAAGGGAGGAACAGGGAGATAATTTATAATGGTGCCCTATAGTAAAGATGCGGGCACCTTTTCTTAGGTCGCTGTCCGTCCGAAAATATAAAAACCTCCACAAGAGGGCTGGGCATAAATGTGGCAACGACCTTGAAAAGGTCAGTTTCCATTTCGTAAAAATCAACTCTTATAAAGGTGCTAGCACTTTTATGATAGTTCCTTTTCATATCCCAGAGACATGGCAGTAAAGGCACCTTTAAGCTAAGGCACGGACATTTCATGACATTTTTCACGCTAAGGTATGACACTCCATGGTAGTAAGGGCACTTTAAAGCTAGGGTATTTTATAAGGTTTTTCCTTTATAGGAACAGTAGTCGATTTGTATAACGGTACAGCACCTTTAAGAAAGTTTTCTTTTTACACATAAGAAATTGACCTTTATGACAGTAGCGACACCTTTATGTTGAGGCACCTTTATGAAGTTTTCTATTCTTACGAATAGCGCTTGATTTGCCAAAAAGATGCCAACAAATTTGTGAAAATTCACACAGTTCAGAAACTGATCTTCGTAAGAGTGTACGAGCATTTTATGTTGAGGCATGTAATGAAGATTTCTGCTATTTCAAATAGTGATCAGTTTAACTCTTCGAACTCGAGAGGTGATTTTCGGTCACCACTTGAGTCGATTGACATTTGAATTGTAAAGAATCTCAAGTAGAAGAATAGATGTAATAAAAAACCTATTAGCCGGTTTCGGGGACATTTGACAAATTCTCGCCAAATGGGTGATATTCTGGAATATTCTAGAAAAACTCATTTTCGAAGCCTTCTTGCTAATATTTCTCGAAATTACAGAAAATGTTTACCCTCCCTTTTAGCAACCTCATAAATAAACAGAAGGATACCAGTGGTCGTCAGCTATTTAGTTCAGTTCAGAGTCGTGCGACTGTATTGTAATCACTACTCTCCTATCACCGCGATTTATTGAATGGAAAAAATAAATTTCCTTTTAGAATCAATCATTCCTCTTAGAAAGAAATATCATTTTAAAGACGAATGCCAATTTAAATGAATCATTTGTTTTTAAAGATGAACATAATTTGAATGCGCAGTTTTATATAAAATTATATTTTAAATTCCTCTGTAAATAGGAACCTGATAAAATTAACTTGATCACTTAAAGGAGAACTCGATGTTTCAAAAATTAATTTGCCAGATGAATATTGTTCTAAAGAAGAAGTAATTAGAACTGCTTGATTACACATTAACTAAATTTTCATTTTGAAAAATATTTTGTTATCTTTTTTTCTTGTTACTTATAAAGATGACAAACACAGTACTTGGAAATTTACGTTTTTGGGTTTTTCATGGAAAAAAGTCAAAGCATACCTAGACAGAAAAATGATTCATTCAGGCGTAGAGATTTTTATTTTGAAAGAATATCCAGTGAAACTACAATTAAAATATTATAATATTATCATTAAAATGACTCACCCAAGTATTCGAAGGAGCCTCTAACTTGGACTTTAGCGCCCTCTTCTGGCATATACTGAGCACTGCCGAAATCTACAAGTTTGACGTTCGGAAGATGTCTGTCTTCCATAACGACATTGTCTGGTTGCAATTCAAAATAGCAAATACCTCTGAAGTGCAAATATTCCAAACCGTCGATTACCTAGAAGTAGAAGTAGGTAATTACTTCACTTAAAATTATTTTCTTCTTAATTATGGAATTAGGAATTAAATTTCTATCACATTTAATCCTGCGTTAGATGAGTACGTTTGTGTTGAACAATTAGCTGCGTTGGTGACAGGTGCCATACTCCTACGAACCCTTTCAGAAGCGAAGTCGCCTGTGCTTTCAGGTCGCCCGAACGCCTGCTACCATTTTCTACCTAGTGATTTCTCCCATCACGTTAATGCAGGGCTCATTGGTTTCCGGAGATGTTAAATGACATTCCAACTATTCTTTTGAAGCGACTAACCTAGCTCTCTTTTATTTGAATGCATCTTCCCTTTCTTTTGTTTATCGTCAATGTTTAGCTAATGATTCTCGCAGTTTCAATTATACCCTGAGGAGAAACTGCACACAGTGGGTGAAACCGCACAGAGATCTCCAAGGCAGAAGTAATCGCTTCACTTAACTAGGTTGCTGTTAACATAGTAGTATTCTACTTGGCAAGATGGGAATAAAATCCTTTCAAAAGAAATTTGTATACACGGCATTTCAGATGTTAAAGGGGAACAGATTTTGGCCTCTATCGATGCGAAAGAGTTAAAATGTATCTAGAATAAGGAAATCATTTTTGTGCCACTGCCGCCATAACCAACACCAGCAATTAACATTTAGCTACTGAAAGACGCGATTCCGAAAACCAACACACAGTGTTGCAAACTTGCTACTAATATTACAGGGGACATCTGTCATTCACACATCTAAAACCGTCTAACCGGCAAGGCCGTATATATACGGCCTAGAATATTTTTTCTGATATCTGTAAGAACGTATATAATACGTGCATATTAAAAATGTCAAAGAAGTTAAGGCAATATTATCAGGTTCAATGTTCCTTCTAACCTTCTTCGGGAACATACAAGGACCTGACTCGGAACAGAGAGCTTACTAAAGCTATGTTCACTAATTGTGGTAAGTAGACAGGATACAGACGAAGGGTATACAAAACCCTTTATTTTTCTCTATTACAATAACTTCCGTACTTCGGAATACAATGACCCGCCACTCGGGGGGTCTAACGTAAAAGTATAAAAATAAAACTAAACTCTAATTTAACTTTTTAGAATAATACACGTGGAAGATTGGCCTTATAATAACAGGAAGCGTATGTAGCACATAGACTGTGAACACTACAATACGTTTAATTTAATTTATCAAGAGGATTAAAACCTCTGGCCTGGAAGGCAAACAGCAACTGCGTAACATCTAAGGTAAGCGGCCTGCGTTGACTCACTGCTTCCTCTCTTTCGCTATCGCAAAAAAGGCCACACTTACATACTTGGCGTTCGCCAGACAAACTTTGCATAAAAACCTTCACGCTTTATAATTCTGGCCGGAAGTAGAAAATAAGAAGTGATAGTAAAGATTTAAAATAAAATAAACGTTAGTAAAACTTAAGATCCTTACAATATATTAAAAGTACACAAATCCAGAATACCAGTAGAATTTTTACATTAAAATCAAGAAAATAATTCTTTCTCACAATAGTTTTGGTAAGTTTGTGCTTTCTTAGCAAAAACCCTGGCCGGTCAGAGGATTAATCCGCTAAAGAAATTATTATGACCTAATATTTTGAGCGTTTTTAAGAAAATCTAGAAACGTCTATGACAAATTTATTTATAAAGAATATCGGGAGACTTAAAGTGGTATTACTGTATGAGCAGACATTTTGACATGTAATTTCCCATACTTTTCCTCGTTAATATTAATTTTAATTCATATTCTGAACCTCAAGAATGTTTTTCTGATATAGTTGGAATTACAGCTTAATTTATTATTATTTAATTTTTTTAAAATTTTATTTAACTCACTTTCTTCTAGAAAAACTTCACATAATATAATACTTTTAAAGATTCAAGAAGAAAGAACATTGTTCCTCAATAATGATGATAAAGTTTCTGTGAAATTATAATTAGTCTAAGGATTTTTGTCTAATTGTAAGATTTAACTCACTTGGTGAATTATTCTGGAAACGAGATCTTCTGTGTAAAGTTGTTTTGAGGACAAATAGGTGAGGACATCAATTCCAGAGAGCTTTTCCATGACGAAAAAGATGTTATTCTTGCCGACACTGGCAGAGTGAAGATTGGCGATCTTCTCGTGTTGAAGCGATTTGTAGATGTCGAATTCCTGGTGAGCGGCATCTGATAAAGTCAGAGCTTTAGCTACAAATGCGGAATTCACCTTCTTGTGCCAAACCTTTATGACCAGTGAAAAGCGTCCTCTGTAAATATAAGAAGGTTAATTGCTGAATAGTGTTATAATCTGAATATAATATATACAATAGCGATATAATAATTACTGCATATAAGAGTATTATTCTTATTAAAATTTGGAATTTAACATAACCGACTACCACAAATTTCAAGACCATGGTTTGGCAGCTTACAGGAAATTTTTTACACCTTTTGAATAGCTTGCGTATATTCGGTACATTGCGCGTAATGTTCAACACATTTCGACGAAATTCTTATTACAACACTCAGAAATACAAATATTTATAACTACAAATCACAATAAAGAGTGTTTGGACTGTGAGCTATAACGGTTTGTTCAATTTGTTTGTACTTGTACGATCTTACAAGACAGATTACATCTATGCATTAAAAAAAACTTTTAAGAAAAGATAATTAAGCACTGAAGTGAATAATTTACGCATTAAGCGTCATAGTGCGAACAACGTAATCCTAGATCGCAGCCAGTATGAAATTAGAAATCCTAAATCGTCGAGACTTCGGCGATTCCGGATTTTAGATCATTATTTAACCTAATGATCCAAACACTTTAGAGTAGATAAGATACATTTAGTAAGATGAGATATAGACATAGAAGCATTCAAAAATGTCCGTAAATCCTCTGTACTACATGAATAAACTGATAATAATAATAAGCCATAATT